CGTGCGGCCCTTTTTTTTTTCTTTCTTCGCTTGAAAAGCAGTCGGCGAGGGCCATGATGGATGATGTTTAGGGCTAGGAATCAAGGACTTCGTCTCTCCTTGGCATTTTTTCCGCAGCTGATTTCTTTCACGTTTAATTTTTTTCCCACTTTATATTTATGAGCTTAATACTTCTTCACGCTTAACATTTCATGAGCTTAATATTTTATGAACTTAATATTTTACGAACTTAATATTTTACGAACTTAATATTTTACGAACTTAATATTTTTCCTCGCTTAATATTTTATTAACTTAATATTTTTCCTCGCTTAATATTTTTTCACACCTGAAAAATTTCGTCACCATCCAGCCTGTTCCAGACCTACCCCGCGTACCAGGACCTCTTCGCGGCCATCCGCGGCATCAAGCCCGAGGACCTGAAGACCAGCAAGAAAGTGGCGGCCCACGGCCTCGTCTTCATGTCGTCCATCGAGACCCTCGTGGAGAACTTGGAGGATAAGGAGACCCTCGAGGAGCTGCTGAGAAAGATCGCCGTGAGGCACAATACCTTCGGGCTCCTCGTGCCGGATTACAAGGTCCAGCAATCATTTTAAATTTTTCTTTATTTTTAAGTTTAATTTTGCATTTGATATTTTTAGAATTTTAATTATGATTTAGATCAGTTTTAAAGTTGAAATTTGACTTAAATAATTTTTCAAGTTGGAGTTTGGATTTAGATTTTTTAAATTTTTATATTGAATTCAAAATTTTTTCGACTTAATTTTGAATCAGACATTTCAAATTTCGGGTGTCAGAAGTTTGCACGAAGGTTTGCACGAAAGTTTTCGGGTTCTTCTTGCAGAAAGTAACCGGTCTGTTCCTGGAGTATTTCCTCGCCAGACCCGAAGTGGAGAAGCTGGAGACGCCGGTGGATTTCCTGCGCGAGTCCTGGCAGTCGATGTTCGACTCGGCGGTGTCCGTGATCGGGCAGCACGTGGAGCCGGGGCCGTGAGTCGAACGGGGCCGGGGCCGTGAACGAGCGGAGCCGGGGCCGTGAAGCGAGCGGAGCCGAGGCAGTGAGGCGAACGGAGCCGGGGCCGTGAGGCGTGTGTGCGTGCGTGCGTGCGTGTGTCACTCTGGTATCGCTTTTTCACTGCACCGATAATCGTGGGATCGTTGGAGGGTGTCTTGGGGTCGTGGCGTTCTCGTCCTGCATGTTCGAATTTGTTCACTGTTCTCCACGTTCAAATCATGGAATAAATTTCACTTTCACACTTGAAGTTATCCGGTTTTCAAGTCCAATTTATGAAAATGCGGAGGCATTTTCATAAATTGGACGCTAACAAACCGAGGTTGGTGGACCCCGACCTCCCTTTTGCTGGTTGCAGACCATTCCGTCGGAGTCGACTCGAGGCTCGCTGTTGGCTTGTTGGCCTGTTTCGGCGTTTATCGCGTTAAAAACACACACAAAGAAGGTTTAATAGGAAAGTGGAGGAAAGAAAAGGAAAATGGCGCCGAGCACATTTTTTTCGATTCCACTCGAGACCATTATGAATTCCACCATTATGAATTCACCATTATGAATTCCACCATTATGAATTCCACCATTATGAATTCACCATTATGAATTCCACCATTATGAATTCACCATTATGAATTCCACCATTATGAATTCACCATTATGAATTCCACC